ATATTTTTCCTTCACATCTAAATAAACCTGGGAGTCGTGTAGCGTATTCTTTTCGAAGTGCATATTTTGTAAATTGACACGTTTCGTGGACTCGTCAAAGAACCGTTTCTGTGAGCACAGATGACCTGCAATACTGGTGACCACAGAATTCGCTTGCTTCTTCAGTTCTTCCAGGGTAATAGCACCCGAAAATTTTCGCTATACAGAGAACGACACAATGGCTTCCCACTCTCGGCATTCTTCCAAATACGTCAAGTACCGCTTTCAGCACCTTTCCGACCACTTGCTTCGTGGGGTTTCGATTCCACGGACGAATGTTTCAAGCATGATCATTCTGCTGGCAACGGATTTCTGTACACTGGCAGTATGTTCTTTTACACCCTTCACTTAGCTTTTCCCAATCGCATCTGTTTTTGCATTGTTTTCATTTATGGTTCCAGATGCGGACTTTTCCTTTTAGCCTCCGTTTAATGTTCGTTGAATGCAGCCGCTCAGAGCCAACTTCGGAGCCAATCGCTCAGCATCTCGGCAAAGCCGAGAATATTATTATTATTTTATAAAATTATTTATCTTGAAATGATATATCTATCTGATCTTTCGGAATTATAATGAGCTAACTAAAATATCTCGAGTCGTTCGTACTTCAATCTCTAGCTCTTCTATCAAGCCACTAGATAATTATGCAGAGACTTTTGAAATCTACTTAAAATTGTACTTTAAATTTTTTTTAAAGCTGTTTCAGAATATTCCTTTCCATACCTCATCTATTAAGTTCATCAAGAAAGTAATTAATACGTTTCAGTATCTTCATCTGCACGTTGCTCAGACCTGATTCTATATCCCGTGAAATCAGTTGACAAAGATGACCAATATCGATTTGATTATAATGATGTTGGTTTTGGTAATACTCATAGTCAAGGCGCAACTGTAATCATAACTTGTACTGAAAGAGGACAGCCAGCTATTGTTGAAGGTTATGATCAGGTACTTTTTCTAGACTAGATGTATATTTTTAAAAAACTAATGCATTTAGATTGCTGGAAAGTCCATGACTAAACGTAAAGCAGCTTGATTTGATTTATTATAAGCATATTTCAGGTATTCTCTTCCTGTATAAGCTTTTGAAAGACTTCATGATTGAGCATTCATCAAAAAGCTTGTCTTGAGTTGAATTATTTGTGTCCAGAAATTGATAAACTTTTTATATGCTTGCAGCAACGAATCTCTATAACATCATCTCAAAATTTGTTGGCAGCATGCGCAAACGTTGGTGGTTCACAGTATACTTGGACTACATTTGGAAGAATCTTGCAGTTCGTTGATTGTCATTTTTAATTTTAATATAACGCTTAAACTCTTTGAAAACCAAACGAGAAATTTGTTTTCCACTGCAGGATGAAATAATTATGGAGCAACCTATTGAGTAATAACTTTCTTACTGTGTAATTCCAGAGTGATACGTAATTTGTTTTCTTTGGTCCAGCTCGTATGCTTTTGTTTGCAAATTTGTTTTGTTTTTCTACTGATTTGCATGTTTTATTCGAATCACTGTTGATAGTGATATCGGTATTATCACTAATCGATCTGGTCATATTGCAAAAAGTGATATTCCATGGTTTAAATGAGCGGCTTGCTTTGGTGACTATTTAATTACAATTTTACTATCAGTTTTTCTGATTTAAAAGCAATGTAATTTCTTTTTCGTTTTAACTTTTTGATCTGCTGCACAAAATGTAGCAGGTAGATAGATACTCGCGAATACGAGTTGTAAACGGAAAAAACTGCGTTTTTATCGAGATTTTTAATGAACTTGAAACCATAGCTCTGAACATCAGGACTTCGATACAGAAGTATTTTTTGCTACTGAAAATTTTCTTCCAAAATTATTCAGCAATTATCAACCTGTTGATTTCTTTATTGGTTTAACGTATGAATTTTGTAAACGAGTTTATTGATTTTGCTTTTTGTGCTAAGAAAAACGCTAATATTCGGTAGATTATGTGAAATAAAAGTCTGAATTTAGTGAATTTTTGTGAAACATAGAAACATGAAGTAAAAGGGGTTTGTGTTTTGTTGAAAGGTTTCACGAGATCACATCAAATTACTTGATTCACGACGCGGTGAAGTTGAGTGCTATTGCATCGAGTTTACTAATTAACCTATCATTATTTATAGGTAGACCATTATTTCCCAGTGGTGGACTAGGAAAACTAGATATAAGAATCTGATTGACTTTAAACAGGATGAACATTCCATTAATTTTCTGAAAATATGCACATGGCAGTTAGCAGTTGTAAACTGTAGCAAGAATGGTGATTGATAAGCAAGAAGTGACTATGAACCGTGCATGTCTATGTACATGCCTGTGTGTATTATATTAGGGTGTATGTTCTATGGCGTGTTGTGAGCCAATTTGCATTAAGTACTTACTAGAAAATTATTAAAATATTTTTCCTCTACGCGTTTAACAGCACCTATACTTTTATAAACAAACAAGCGTAGGCAAATCGCACTAAATAACCGAATAATCGGAAAAGTGGATGAATGGATGCATAGACTGATTGACGGAGGACTGATGGATGGATAAGTTGATTGATTGATGGATGGATCGATTGACTGATTGATTGGTCATGGGCTGATAGACGCATGAATGAAATCACTAATTTATTTATCACCGACAGGAGATGACGTTCCTGTGCTATTTGATCTTCTTGATGCTACATGACTCAAGTAGTCACTTATCATAATTCTTGTTCGTGTCGTTGAAGGTTTCCGGTTAGTATAGGTGAGCAGTAACGTTTCGAATAGTCAGTTATTGACTTAATTTCTCAGTTATTCTTAATACTGAGGGCGGCAAGGATGCGAACAAATGAAGTAGCATGTTGACGTCGAAAGAGTTGTAAATCGAATAGGAATGCCAGGGACATATACTCGCTTTTCCTTCACTTCTTTCATCGCATCCTCGTTTATGCCTTTTGTTATTGCTTTTAGTTTTTGTGTTGTGCAATAGATTCCATGACATGCAGTCAGCAGTCGTCGCTAAGCCGCGACATCAGTCCGCTACGCAACTTACCAGTATTGCCAATTTCACCAGTAATACTTATATTAGCACTGGATTCGTGCAGGAACTAGTAATTCACCCCCATAATTTCTAAAGTGTGACTATCTTTTCATCCATCTTGAAGAACTTCTTTTACTTGCATAATTCTCGAGATCTCATGTAATATACCGGCAACACATTCTTCATTAAATTTCTCTACCTCTTGAATGCCATCTGAATCTTCCCTAGTGAATGACATCATGTAACAACATATATCAAGGTATGAGAAATTATTTAGCTCCACAGGACAACTAACGAAACGTGGACTCCCAAAGCGAAAGCCACCGTAGTCACTCATGTTATTCTTAAAGGCAAGATGCCAACATCTGTTTGTAAACTTATTGTAATTCTGGTTTGTGGCATTGAGTCTTTCTGGTTAGTGTAGTTCGTATTAAGCTGGATATATGCAGGGTTGTTCGCAAAATCTTTGATTTCACTTACCATTAATCTTCTACCGCTTGTTTATTTCAAAGTAAAAAGTAGCACATCATTTCGGCGCAGTCCAAAACATCCGATACCTAGACTACTACATTTCTTATTAAATTAAAATACCTCCGTGTACTTATCTTGAAAAAATTATTGTCGTAAGATGTTAATCTGCGGTGGGGAAAGGAAGTAATGTAGCTATCTCCAATCATTATTTAGTATTATGATGAAGAAACATCTTTATTGGTTGTGACCAACCTTGGACAACAGAACCTATTTTGCGGTAGAATTTTTGAATAATCACCATCACAATAAGAAAATTCAGGTGCAAGCACCCATTAATAGCAAGCACGTGCTCGCTAGACCTTTGCCTCATCATAGATTTGCATACATAAGTAGAACTAATTTTTTCACCAGCTTGTAGTTTACTTTTTTGCAAGCCTATTTAGGTAAGCAGGCGGTTTGTGGTGTGAGTATTGTGGCGAGAGAGCAAGTTGGAGGTGGTTGACGTGACGAGTTTGGAGCGTTTTGGAGATATGAGCAGTAACGCTTCGAATAGGTGTTACAAATGTAACGAGAAGGGACATCTTGCTAGAAATTGCCCGACTCAAGTACAGGACGTTGGTCGACGAGGAGTTGGAGGTAAAAACATTTTTCGTTCATGTTTCAGGCATTGGGTAAAACACGATGTGTCAAATAATCTGTCGCTGAAACTTTCGGTGGTGACATTTATGGCAGTCAAGTAGCGTGTAATGTTCTTGATTGTTAACTGAATCACGACTTACAAAAACTGATGATATTTTATTAGAGACATCACTGTCATTCAGAGATAGTCATGTTCACTGCATGCACCAGCTGGAGAACTCAAAGGAAAAGCATTTTTTCATATTGTTTGGTCAGAAGGTTTTCGTCTGTGGTTGCAGTTATATGATTCTGTGACCTCAGATTGCTTTAACTGTGGGCAAGCGGGACATTTTGCACGAGAATGCCCAAGCCAGCGTGGGGGTGGCCGTTATTATGGTGGACGTGGTGGACGTGGAGGTCATCGAAGTGAATGCTACCAGTGTGGTGGTAAGAGATTTAAAAAAAGTTTCAGATGTAATTCACTTTTTGAAATTATTGGATATTATGGGAGCCATATACATATCTTTTTGTTAAACTCAATATGACCTCTAAAAACTGGGACATGTAAACTACACGTATAAGCTGTCCTTCATTTAACTGACGCTTACAATCATTTATGTTAAATATATGTCAGTAGAACGAAATCTGACATATTTGTGCTACAACTTATTTAGGCTAGCATTTTGTGGCATGATTTTAGGCATTGGGCATTTTGCTCGAGAATGTCCAACCGATCGTCGTATGAATGGAGGCGAGAATCAGAAATGTTATAATTGTGGAAGATTTGGACACATATCTCGCGACTGCCCTGATTCTGGATCGGAACATTCTAAACGTTGCTACAATTGCCAGCAGATTGGACATATTAGTCGTGAATGTCCGCGTAGTGATCGCGATGATTAAATTATGCAGTTTGAAGGAAACTTGGCACCCAAATAACCACACTAGTACAATTAACCGGTGATAAGTTTTTAATGTGTGCGACTTATGTGGGCTATATACTTTTAATTATTTGAACGAGGAAAATTGTCTGTACCGTCCTTATGACTTGCTAATTCGAATTTCTTTTGGGGAAACACAGTATAGCCTCTAGGAACTGGAACATTAAGGTTAATAACATTCTCGTTTACCTTGGTTTATCCTTTTTTTTTCAATAATTCGACCTGCTACTACATTGCCTTCTATCTTTGCTGATCATTTACCACTGAACCTTACAACAATTAGTTACTGCATTAACGAACAATCGAGAATTCTAGACAACAAACAGCAGTTTAAATTCCAATTGCTCAATAAATTGTGTGACCCTTACTCTTTCGAACTCTGGATATTTAGTTTTGGTCTCAGTACTGCGAGTCGTTCCTTGTTTCTTATGAGATGTTTGTAGGTGAGCTGTTTCCGTACGATGTTTCTGATAACGATCTAAATTATCTCCTGAAAACACTATGTTTATTTTTTACTGTTTTCCGACAGATTTTTGTGCTGTTTACGGAACTATTTTCTCTTGGAGGTGGACTTTCTTATCATTGACTTTATCTTGAATTACTTTTCAATCTCTCAAAAAATAGAGATAATTATTTACTCTTATGCACAATTGGGGTCGCATTTTTCATTGTTTATTTTGTACTGGCGATAATAAAGGGTGTGTTACTTCTGACATTACTTAGTGTTTCTCAGTGTTTTCCAGGGCAGGAATAAGTACAAATATACGCTGAGGTTATTACAAATACTCTGAGCTTGACACGCCACATGGTGATCAGTAATATCACTCTCTGAGGTTGAGCTCACAGTGTAGCTATATTATGTTGATAAAGGAAAGAGGTCAAAATTTGCCAAAATCAAACAAGTATGATAGAGTGGGAGAGTTGCTGACATGATCTGACGCTCTAGCAATGTGAGTCCCGAACAATGACCGAAGCAGTTTGTGAGTGCGTATAATGCTTAGAACTTTACCTGTGGATATCATTTTCCCATCGGTTACGATGCATAATGTACAGTTTCATTGCGACTCGAGCGTCAGTGATCTTAAGGTTGACATGATTTACAGTTTAGTACTAAAGTAAAATGAAGCCTAGAAATTAGTGCAATCATGTTGAGTACGATCTAAGGAAACATAAGTGTATAACATACAGAAAAGACAACTGATGACTAGTGTTTTTAATCGTTACATGTGTAAAGAAATTTGTAAAACTTTCCAATTTATGAAAAGAAAAAAAGGTTCTGAACTGTTCATAGAGCTTGATTTTTGAAATAATGGGAATGCACTAACCGAATCATGCTCACCACTTTGAATATCTATACCCAACAATTTTTTAGCCAATAACTTGAGTGATGGAGTTTTTACGATTTGCAGTGCTTTGCGAAATGGCACGTAATTTGCAGTATCTCTTATTAATTTACGTGGATGTGAAAGATTCAAAACCTAAATAACTGGAAGTCACAAATATTTGTCACAAATCTTTGATGGAAGAATAATTAAATATGTAATTCTTAAATCCGAAGTGTTTTTCACCTTACCTTAAAATCGTTTTTTAATGAATGCCCAACAACTATGCGGTTAGTGAGCAATTTGTGTACTTCCAACTGGACCTTCTGGAATGGTTCTGCTGCAACATTGAGAGCATTAAAAGAAATCCAAAAACTGAGTTCTGAGACTTACTTAGTTCTGAGAAAATGTGGTGTAATAGTTTTTTTTTATTGGTTCATTTGGGGATTTATTTTAAAAACTGACCTATAGAACCTAGTCACCGTATCCATGTCAGATACAGACTAGATAATATTTCAGACTCAAAGAATGTATTAATGCTTTTATTTTACTGCGTAGCAAACCAGTCAAATTACCATTTCGCAAACTACTTGGCCTTATACCACTTATTGCAGTGCGATAATCAATAATTTTTTCTACGGGTTTCACATACTTGTCGTAAATACAGTGTCCATACATATTAACGATAGAGATACGTGCAAGCATATTGTCTTTGCCCTCTATGCCAACGCCAACATATTCGCAATCAAATGCTATAGCTTTAGTTGGCTCATGTCTGTAATTTGAACCAAATATTAATTTTACAGAACATATTTTAAAATTTCATAAAAACGAGCTCTAAACATCTTGTTTTGCAATTTATAATAATATATCAGAACTTTTCAGAGTTCTACTTTTTATTGATTAATTATACCAGTTAATTTGGTTCTTATTAACTAAAATTTCAAGGAAATGATTGGAGAACTGGAAAAACAAATCAGTAGAAAAGTTGGATTTTCGAATTTTCATGTGGGTTATCTAAGGCTAATTTATGAGCAAATTTAGTAAGAAAAGTAATAGGGTTCTTAATTAATATGATGTGCATAAGCTTTCTGTAATTTTTTAAATTGATAGTGCAGGAAAATACCAACAATTCGCCACTATTTGTATCATCATTGCAATTGAAATGACTAATGTTATTATTGACTTTTTTTCCCTCTTTACTACGCTGCTTAATCTCGATTTCTGTTATCTCAGCTTTTCTTTTACGATACCGAATCACGGAATCAGCATTTGTTCTTTTGTTTATTTCCTGTTGCTCGTTTCTTTGCTTCAATTCCTATAAATAGAATGGAGTATTACTCACAACGACCGAAAAAGTAATGATTAAAATATCACTACCAAAATAATACATGCAATTCTAGTAACTTATTACAGTGATTTTGCAGTATTGTTACAAACTCGAAGAAAGCATCATGGAAAAAATTTATAAATCAAGGAAAATGAGAGAAGTTGTACAAAAAACAGATGACATGCACAGAACGAGTCAATTGACAAATCCAGAAAATATCAATGATGACAAAGTACGCAAACTAACAGTAAGATTAATGTAACAGAGTGAGAATATGTGGAGGTGGCGAAAACAGGTGAATTTAGTATGTCATATTATGTAAGAACAGTTCTGAAGAACATAGATATTTTCCTGAACTGAAGATAAATATAAGGAAACTCGACATAAATGATGACTTACTTTATTACATTACACGATGTGGACATTCACTGCCTACAAGACGTGAAAATTACCTGTTGAAGTTGCTTCCAATTAGTTGAAAATAATGACATCTGTACGCGCGCAAACTTAGATCAGTTCAGTATTGTAAAAATTAGTCTTCACTTGAGAGAGCGATTATTCAATTAAGATGAAGTGTAGAATACACGACAGCAAATACCAATAAAAAGAACCACAAAACCTAAAACAATTTTGTGAACGAATATATGCAATACGACAAGACATTATGCCATCTGATGTGGTAACAGTGTGACATCTGGCGTGCTAACAATGGTGATGCAGTTTACTCTGGTTCAGTTGCAAAGAGCAATTACGAATGAGTTACTGACTTAAAGAGCGTAGCAAACAAGGAGGGGCAGGGAAGAATGCTGGATGGGTTGGGTTGGTGCATTTTGAGGATGGGTTACGAGTAACGGCGTTAATATCGCATTCCTCACTTATCATCTATGTATTTGCCGTTATAATTCTGTCGATGTCTTCATTTATCTACTCATGCAACTATCTAAATACCTTTAGATATCTATTTGAATCTGTCTTAAAGCATTTATCTACATATTTGATTCTATTTGTCTTTTGTGTGTGTAGAAGTACGTTATGTTTGTGATCACTGAGATAAGCATTTTTTTAAATGTATAAAGATTACTTGAATTCTAATTCATTTAGTTGTTTACGTGAGTTCATGAATCCGTACATTTATGGTGACTGTTATCTTCCCATCCCACACTATTCATTTCTATACTCATATGAATTGCAGCTGCATATAACTTGTAACTAGCAATTTTGGTCGTCATGCAGATGCCATTGGAAATGATTCACAGAAATAAATGCGTACTGTAAAACTGCAATAATTGTAGCGTTTGTTACGCGTAAGACTGATCAGTAAGCGTAGATGTTTGTGTATGAAATGCTCTCGATCACGTACAACGTTTTATCAAAAAAGTTCTCGTTCAGTGTTCAGTAAACATTTCCCATGATGCACAGTGTATAAACCTAATTTTTTGTTAGGTGTAAATAAGGGAATAGAAAAATTACGATTAATTTTTTACTTTGGGTAAATTTTTTTGTATTTAATAAATGTATGTAATTGCATTCGGTGTGTCAACGTCTCCATCATGAATCTCTGCTCTAATGTATCGCTGTCCAGCAATCGAAATTCTCGAATTGTCTGAAAAATTCTTGGCGTTTTGATCACATTTTTGATAAAGATTGGTTATATCTATTATACTTGTTGATTATAATAAAGTGAACTTCCGTCATCATACATTTTTAAAATCTATCTTTAGTCTCTGTAAACGATTTATTAATTGAACCCAGCAAAATGCCCTCTTTTCTTGCTCTGAAAATAATTAGAAAATTCAGACTTGTTAACAGGATGAGGATTCATTTTGGTTGTTACCGGCATTCTCAACTGGTTTATGCAGATCATTTAATACCTATTTATGCATCTTCTTATAAGTAAAGGTGTGCATGAGATTTTTCGTGAATCGCGCTCTAGTGATTCGTTGAAGAACTTTTTTGAAAACCTTTCAGGTTTTGTCGTAATTAATAAAAAGTGATAGCTGTGAAAGTAGAGTGAAAGCGAACTCCATGCACTGGTAGGTCCCGACTAAAGCTTATTCGTCCAATGTCTTGTAGGCTGAGTTTCATCGTTGTCCCAAACATTGGTCCTTGTTCAATCGTTACGAAACCTGATATTATTGACATGTAAAAAAGCTTAAAATAAAATGGGAATGAGGGTTGTATCAATGTTTGGTTAGAAATGTACGTGGTAATGAAGTACTCTTTCCGTTAGAAATCTGATTTTTTCTTCGTTAACTACAGTGACTTTGAAGATGAATAAAAACTGAATGTTGCGACAACTTCGTTTGAGTGAAAACATGCCGTTGTTCATAACAGTAGATAATGCAATTTCTCTGGTACTCGCCTTCATCGTCATGAAACCATATTCACTATGTAATTCATCGCGATTATTCATGTCCCAAGCGAAAGCACTGAAATAAATTGTGATAAAACTGGCTGAAAGTGATCTCTTCAAATAGGCGGCATTCATAACGAGAAAAATTGGTAAATGCACATTCCGTGATATTAGTGTCAGGAAAGCAAAAAAGTAAATAAAGTCAGGTTATAACCTGTAATTGAGTGCTTTAAGTGCTTTTAAGCCATCATTAGGTAAAGCAAATTCAATTTGTTCTCCGTACGTGAACACAGGTATAGTCGGAAATATCGCCTTACCACCAGTTTCAGCTCTCCAAATTCCAATCAGCCAAGCCAGGGGTTTCAACGCTTGTGGCACATATCGTATATCAAATCCTAGAAGCAAGTTCTTATCAGCATGCAGTTTCAAACATTTCTGGATCTCACGAGAATTTCTCACAATGAATGAACAAAATGATATATGTGATAAGTAATATTAGTTTTATGATCAATCAATATTATCGTGGACTGTTATAAATTGTCACAAAAGTTTGGATACTGAAGAATGGGAATTCAAAAATAATCAGTGATGTATTGAAGTAAAGTCATCTTCATAAGCGTGCATATTGTCTCATAAAGTAAATTAGAAAGAACTTGATAGAAATAAGAACTAGCTTTTTTCAACATCGCCGCACACAACGCATGTCCTCAAGCAATTTTTCACTACAAATGATGATCTCAAGCATTTGTCTCCATCTTGCGCAACTAAAGCAGAACAATGTCGATCCAGATCTTTGCATGTGTCTGCAATATAACTCACGTCTAAATTACGTTTGAGATTGAAAAAAGTCGGTGTACAGAACTGATAAATTGTCGCAGCAGTGAATGTTGAACTTCTACTATGATCAATGTTGTAAATGATGTGAATGATTGTTTAAGAAATATTCAGGGCATTTTTGATATAATATTTCTGTTTCGGACAGTATTAACGATGATTACTCCAAAAATTGGTGTCTTTGGTTGCAAACTATTATTGCACTGAACATTTCTGGAAGTTATGCATTATTTATTGATCCCTGAACAACATTTGTGAAAAAAAACGAAGAAAAGCGAATGACGGTGATGATGTACGTGTGGTACACAACCAATATTGTATGATATTATGGATACGATGACTGACATGATGAAAACTGACACTTGTTTGCAGCTATCTTATTATTGCTTACATGTATAATTTGCAGATGTTACACAACATTTAAAGGTCTTCACTGGTATATTAAACACTATATTACTACTATTAATGGAAATGAGTGCAGAATCGATAAAAAATGTGGTAGATAACCCGAATTATAAAAATTATTCATATGTTCACTTTTTTAATCTTTGGTTTGTAAAAAATCTATGAAGTCAGCAATTTTATTCACGAAATTATTGATTGAGAAATGTAATTAGCGTCTTTAGTATCAAGATCTATAAATTTACATGATCAAAACAAAACTGTACTTCAGAATAATGCCAAAATTTCGAAGTGATAATGGTAGGAACTGAATAAATTAATCAATAATTCCCTTAGTATAAATAGGAATCGAATAACTGATATCCAAAAAACCTTTTAAGAGTGTTGGCTATTGAATTCAAGTTCGAAATTCAGAGAATAAGTTCTTAAATGAAGTGTAATAAGTTTGTCAGTGGAAGGGAAGGAAAATTTCAAGCACTTAATTAATAGTAAAGTGAAGAGCAACTTTAGTTGCCTTGATATAATAGTGTCGACTCGTTCTTACCTGGTTTATTTTTAGTTTTGATTAGCAACACACCGGGATGGAGCAGTAATAAGCAGCAGAAGATAAGCATCAGTTTTTGCTTAACATAAATATAGATCTAGAAAAGGCTAAATTACCACTGAACAGAATCAGAGAAGTACTCCTGCAACAAAGATATGCGCAAAAGCTGAAAAAGATCACTCGCTCAAACGCATAAACTTTATTCCAGCTGCAAATTAATAAGCATAAAAAAATGAAACAAAATTAAGTAAATGAATCGTTGGTATTCTACATCACGAAGAAACTGTGATAAACGTAGGAACGATCAATATATGTGGAGGTTATAGTGCAATGATATGGTGATAGTTGGTCTTGTTGTGTAGTGGCTCGCAAAATGCCATGCAGGGAAATGTTAAGTATGGAGAAATCAGAAATACCTGTTTCGATGAAGTTTTGAAAGAAGGAATTTTTTTGAAAAATAAATGAAACAGAACACGCATAAATTCCTTTACTAATTAGTTTGAAATCACCGCGCTTTCAATTTTAAAACGAAGACATAAAGAAACTTATAATTATGGTATATTTTTAGTTAATCTTAATTGATTACCACTTTAAGTGGTGATTCACATATACCATTAAGAGTGCAACTGAAGCCTAATTATGGCTGAATAAATAATGATTCCAAAACCTTGTATTTCTTTTAAAGCTGATTCTGACGACAACAAAAAGTTGCGAACCACATCATGTAAGCTTAAAACATCCACCAGAGTCTAATTGTAGCATGTGCGTTTGGCACTGTGAATTAATGCACCGTTTTCCCATTTGCTCTGCTCTAGCAAACACATGAATGTTACATGTGAAAAGTAGTTTAAAATGCTATGTTAGAAAGTTAAATTATTTCACTGTTGCAAACTGAACACTATACTACACTACACTATACTACACTGCACTACACTACACTACTCTAACTACTGTTGTCGCTCTCAGAAAGTACGCTTCGCAAATTTCTTAAAATGAATTCTTGACTATGATCAAAGTAAAGTAAGTGGAAATTCTTTCCTGAAAAAAGTGTCACTTCTATGCACCGAAAGTAGACGGATTACATTTTTGAACTAATTTTCAACCTAATCCTATTTGTTTTTTGACATCCAATAAATGTTTTTCTTTTTTCCATTGCTTTAATTTGTTGTGAACAAATTTCGTTACCATTAATACTTAAGCGGAAATGAATTGTAAACGGAAATTATGAGAGCAGGCTGCTAATTCTGATTGTGAGGTAATGATGGAAGTGAAAAACCGTGAATTATTACGTGAAACAGCTAGTAATGAATGAGTAATGAACCAAGTATGAAATAACAATACAAATTATCAGTGAAAGACAAACTTCTATTTCATTTTCAGTTAGCACTCAGTCTCAAAATTTTCCAAATAACTCATACTAATGTCGCTTAACTTTTGGAAGTTTGCTAAAATAATATAGATGAATGAGCAGCACCACGCTTATTTCATCAAATTGGTGAACAATGAAATTGAAATTTAAGGTGCGCACTGGCGACAGTGTAAAACATCACAAAGTTTAATAGGTTTTCGTTGCGGTTTGAGAGAATAGCTGGTTTGAAACAAGTTTACAAACTACTATCATTATTACGTTAAGCCACTGTAGCTATTTCGGTTGCTGGTTAGATGATTATAACTTTAGAACAAAAATGTGCTAATAATGACTTTGAACTATGCTCCATTACCATCTTATTATTCATTTCCACTCATTCAATTTAACAACACTAATTCAATTTTACTGCTGCATGGCAAATGCTTAATTAAATAGCTGAAACGTGAAAATTGGTGAATAAAATCAAAAAAGTAGATATAGTGTAAACTGTTCTGAATAATATTACTTGTTCAGATCTGTTGCCTACGACAAAAGCAACATCGTGAAGATAAACTGAGGGAAATTTAAAATAAGCAAAAAATATTGCAGGCAAATAAATATGCTTTCGTGAAATAAATGCTGACTGTCCAGCCGATAATGCTTGACTGCCGAAGCAGACATAGTTCATGAGTAATTCTATACCCTTTATGTTTCTCATCAGACCTCATTATTCAAACCAAAATGTTAGAAATCCAATTCAAACCAAATTCTTTCACGTTCACACGTACAACGCTAGCTTGTTTGCGACTGGCAACAGATTAGTAATTGCTAACATTCACTACCGAAGTATCAAAGTTGTGCAAGAAACATTATGATTAATATAAAATTACTGGCTTATCTATCAGTCTGTGAATTATTTCTTGGACATGTTGAGGGAGCAACTTTGCCAACAGTCACTTGAAGAGACGTACACAGTGCTGTTAAGATGAAAAACCTTTTGAAGTAAATAGTACGTAGTCCGAAAGACGTGAAGCTAATCTTTTGATCTTTACTTCGATATTGAATTACAAAGCCACCCGCCACATTTCTAATCTAATTTCGAAATTGGTGAAACAGAGAATTTCATATCTATCCCTCGTAAAAAACAAATTTAGACAATGTTGCCAAGTAATCTTGTTGTGCAGTGCAGTCATTTTTCTGTTCTATTCTTTTGGTAGTAATCAATAGCCAGCAGTCTCCACCGTGAAGAGGCAAACTGGATATCTTTTAGTGGTACACGACATTTTTGTCCACTGCAGGACATTGTCATGGGTAGTCGATTTAACACTACAAGATATTGTAGTGGTATGCATTTTTATAATTTCTAGGAACACTGAATTTCTCATCTACTTGTCGAAATTCTTCTGTCATATTCGCCTCTATTTCTTACTATGTATGTGAAAGTATAGATTCATCAGTTGTATTCATCTCCAGTTCTTATTGTACTAGCAAATAACGATCAGCATCAAAATTCAGTACTAGGTCTCTGAAAAGACTGAAAACAAGAGGTGACGCATATTCCAGTCTGTGCTGTACTGGAAGTGGTGGTTACTCGTGATCGCTAAGTTTCTGATTTACAAGCAATAAAGGAGGTAAATTTTCTTAAGTGGCTAAATATTACTTACAATATTATCTGACTTGCAACAAGTTTAGATCTGTATATGCAATCAGGTGATCTCCAAATTCTTTAGGAAATTTCGCTCTTCTAGAATATAACTACGAAATGGAGGCGAATCGAGCTGAAGCGCAGCGTTGTGTAGACATCGCGCGTGATGCACTACGTTTAAAGGATGGTGCAAGAGCAGTCAAGTTCTTGCACAAAGCTACTAAATTGGACCCTTCTATAGACGTGAAATGTATGACTTGAAAATTCTCTGTTGAAGAAAACAAACAGAACTGTAAACAACCACTTCAAGTACCTTTTTTCATATAATGATATTTACGTATATTTGGAAAATGGATCAAGAGACTTTTTTGTTGTCAAATTTTTGATCTGTAGTTGTTCACGATATGCATCCTGACATCTGCAAGAATCATTAAACAGTTTCATTTCGAAAAGAGCATTGCAGTCAATATTCTCTAAACTTATTCAACTGAACAAAATTGTCCACGCCAGCAACTTTATTCATCTAGCTAGGGGTCAAGGCATGCGGAATAGTCCACAAAAAATGTTTAAATGGTCGTTCATCAGAATTTATGTTATAGTTTTATAGATCTTCTGAAAAAAGCACAAGGATCAGGAGGCCATTATGATGGGGAAGATTATCATGCGACGGGAACAGATGCTGGCTATGGACATTACGATCAATATGAAGCAGATTCCGGTATGCATAATCGTAGGAAGTTTCATGCTAGTCGTAGTCAGCCGAATATGAACAGTGAAAGAGGCTGTCCAGATGGAGGTGTGTGCGGTTTTTGATCACAATACAGCTACTCATATCTTGTGCACTTGTCAATATTGTGATTGGAAATCACGTTCTGAATTTTATATCACTTGTTAGAGCTTGATCTAAAGTACAAGCTTAAGATCCTTGATTGAAATTTTATCAAAGACTCAGCAGAACTTTATACATGTAGGAAATTGCATTTGTGAAATGTGCTTGCATTTGACGTTTTAGCCTTAAGTAAATCAAAATAAATCCAGCGCAAGGTTCGTGAGGTTTTAGTAAAAACCAGAATATCGCATTGCATTTTCAAATGCAGGAATGATTTTATATTACTGTAAACTTGCTTGCACTTAAGCTGATGAAGGTTCTTCATCAAGCGCCGTTGAAACAAAACAAAGGACTCGTTCTCGTTCGTCTGTTCGATCAACTCTTGGTATTCATTATACAAAGGAAGAGCTAGAAATTGTTGAGAGGTACAGGATTTCTTTTTAATGACGGAATTCGTTGTCAACATACACATAAGAATAGCACAAGTGAAGGGTTTTTGATTATTATCTGTAATTGACATTATTTAATGCTACATAAATGCTAGTTTGGTAGTTATGGACGATATTTGGTTTTAGAATACGACACTGTAAAGATTACTATGAAATACTAAATGTCAAGAAAACTGCTAGTGAAGCAGATCTTAAAAGGGAATACCGTAAGCTAGCATTGCAGCTTCATCCTGACAAATGTCGTGCACCGGGTGCTACTGAAGCTTTTAAAGGTATGACCTCAATTCAAAACATCACAGTTGATTCTACTCTGTGCTTCGTATAGAATGTTGCAAATTGCAGTCGAATTACTCCCAGTCCATTTAAATTATTTTGTTGTTCACAAACGGTTGTAGAAGCTAGTTCGTAACTTTGAGGTTGATTTTTTCGTGGCTTTGTTGAAACCAATCACGTTATCAGATTCTACAATAGTATCTAAAATACCTGTTTTAGCACTCGGAAATGCTTATGCAGTTTTGTCTAATAAAGATAAGCGTGCTCAGTATGATCTCTATGGTACAGAAGGACCACGAAGACGAAACAGTGAATATGAGGATGACTTTAGTGAGTACGATTATGCGAGAGGTTTCGAAGGTTTGTTGTGTGTTACGTAAAGAATGAGTTTGTCAAACGATTGGTTTCATGAGAATTTTTGTTGACATGTCGCATAACTGAAGTTGTACTTCAGTGTAATTTACAGCAGAATTCACTCCCGAAGAAATTTTCAACATGTTTTTTGGTGGGGGTTATCCATCTGCTCATTTAAACAGACGCCATCGTGGAGCGCAATTTCATTTTCATCAGCATAGTTCAACACAGCAGTATCAGGTATTTTGTTCTTGATAAAATTACAAGTTTTAATGTTCTTTTAAGTCAAACTATAAAAGAGTGCTCTACTAAAGTTCTTTCAACACCGCAACAAGTTTTAGCAGGTTTTTATTTTTTAATTGTTGTTGGAATATAGTTTTAGTCACCCTATGCACCTATACTACAACTTCTACCACTTTTTGCGGTTTTATTGCTTGGCTTGATTGCTCAGTTGATGGTGGGCGATCCCGCATTTTTGTTGCAACGTACTGGGTATGTTTCTCATGTGTTTCACTACTACAGTTTAATATTTGTGATACGATTGAAGAAAAAAAATTAGTTTTTGAAGGTAGCATATTAGCTTACGTCAGTTCGTTTAAAATTTTTCCTTCATGAAAATACTTTATAAATTTCAGCAAATATACTGAAGAGCGTCTAACGAGAGATTTTCAAGTGCCCTATTACGTTAAAGCAGATTTCCTGACCAATTATCGAAATAAAATCTCCCAAATTGAACACCAGGTTGAAGAAGAATATATTTCTCACTTGCGAATGGAATGTTACAAGGAAAAAAACGAAAGTGAGTTACATGTTGGTAGTTGATAATGATCTACAAGATGTATGCTTTCATTTTATTGCTGGAGAAAATACTCTGTATTAGGTTGTGAATACATGTCATTTGTGTTTTTTTGACAAGTATTCTTTAAGGAGAAACTGCCATATGGAGAGCTCGTACTTTCGGTGGCGCCGATTTGTGGAATCAGGCTCAACGTATGGCGACACCAAGTTGTGATAGGTTGAACGAAATATATAGTTAGAATTGGTTTATATGCAAATTTTGATTTTTAAAAATGTCGGTGAAGTGTATCAAATACTGAATGGTAAGATACATATTATTTATTACTGCTGCTTTTATGTTATTAAACTTGACTCTACTCACGTTTAAAAACTTAAATCGTTTATCAAGAATTATTATAATGGATTTAGTCTGTTTACTAGTATGTTTACTTTAGTAATATCTTTTTACGTCTCTATTGAGAAATAAAAGCACTGTAGGTTATGAGCTAATAGATGTTCCAGTTTTTTATACATTTATTAATTAGAAAATTAATCATTATAAGTCATTTTTTTCATTAAATTGTAAGTCTGATTTTAGGTCTTGCTTAGGTTAGAAAAAATGTATTAAAGTAAGAAAGACTGTTGGTTTAATTGGTTCACCATAAATTTCCACGAAAGTGAAAAAACATGGGAAAATTCGATTTTTTAAATCACTATTTATTACCTAATATATGAACTTGCAAAATGCTTTCTTTGATCAACTTCGTAAATTGGGAAAATGCTTTTTTTGTTCACCTTATTTACATTGAAATTCCAGCATCCTTTTTGTCATATCTCGTAGTTTCTAGAACTAACAAGGTATTTATTTTTAATTTTTTACTTGTTCCCTGTAACACAGGTATATCTTCTCCCATAAATGTTGATATTCCAATGGACTAGAAGTGCCATGATTCAGAACCAGTTTTCAATCGCATCAAACTATCCCAAGTTTTATTGTCAGTAAATGGGAATCTAACTGGAAGATAGAGTTAAAGTCATAAATTTCTTACTTGTTTTTTGCTTGAATTCTGATTGCAAAACTATGTGGACCCCATAATTTAAATTCATCAAAGTCCCTTCTACTCAAGTTTCTGTGGTCTTTATATCTGTTAGGGTTACTATTTATTATATATCATCCTGATTTATCACTGGGAATCGCATCCTTTTCAATGAAACGTTCGCGAGTCGCAAATATTGTCACTTTGGTTGCTATCGCTGCTTCAACTGTTTTAATGCATGATGTGTACAAGGAATTAATTTACTATAATTCGGAGCTATTCTTCAACCCCATGAAAATGACTTTTCATTGTGTTGAATATATGATGATTGCGGAAAACTGTACTGAGTACTTTTGTGTCTAGTGGATTTCTTTTCGCGTATCGTGATGCGGATTTCCACTTCTAATCATGAATAGTTCCTGTTGGGTCTAACTGTTACTATGTGTAGTACGTCTGGCTTTTGTGCATATCTGCTAATTTAAGCAGAAGTGATAGAGATTAGAAATAAAAAAGTCCTCACCATGCAGTTAGCTACATTTCACTAAAGATAAGTACGGAAGAATGAATTAAAGGCTCCAAAGATTGTATTAGGGTCTGCTGTCGGCACTCTTTATGAATGAAAAGGTATGCTGGAGCGAACGTAACATATAATATATTCAAATACATGATACTATTCGAGGGTGTGTTATATGCACTTACATGTTTGACAAACGAGAAAAACAAGTTTATCGATAAAATCCAGAACTGAGAAGTTGATAATAATTATGGAACCGCAGACTACATTCGCTTTCTGCTCGTAATGTGCATCAGTCGTCCCAATAACTTAGCACACCACACAAGATCCATATTGAGTTTATAATCCCCAATTACTCTCGGGCTTGTCGTCAATCTGTTCCATGGAATTTGTGTAATTTCCAAGTAAACTCGATAATTTGCTGCTAATGCTAATCTATTCAAATTACCGCACATCACCTTCCTTCAACATTTTATTTTCTAAACGAAACATGGGGTACACTATATTACAACATTCACGCAAACTACATTTTAAGCAGCAACCAAGAAACTCCATGTCCCAATTTTTACAAAACTACGACATACAATATCTGACCAGGTAAAAGTTTTAAAAAGGACAGATAAAATCTATAGTGAAGTAGTCGCAAGATTATGCTGCTCATAAATTCACTGCTAAAGATCAAACAGAAGAATACTCAATAACACACCACAATCTAATCAGATTACGGATCATTTTTATATTAAACAGACGGTGATTAGTTTCTAAAAGTGTTTTAACTTTCATTTCAAACACATTCAAAATGTACCATTAAGCAATCGATAATAAATGGTTAGCTAGAAAATGATACATTACATAAGTACTTTTCGTAAAAAATTTAAAACAACTTACCAAGGATCAAAACTGAGTGAAACCTTACAGTAATAAAAAAATACTTTTTGAAAGAATGGATCAGCGTTGAAATATTGAAATACACAAACAAAATATAAGATCTCCAGCACAATTTTATTTTTTCGAGTGATTTTAGTTTTTGAAAGAAAGCAAAGACTACATTAAATTAAGATAAGGTGCTAAGCACAGTAAATGTGGGATTATTGAAGAGAATATTAAAGGCAGCTGAAATTGCAAGCAAAACAAGAAATCTTAAGAAACTGGTGTAGTGAAGAATGACAGTGGAAGGAAATTAGGGAATATCGAGAAATATCATCAAGCAACTTATATATATATTACAAAATGACTAATAAGGGTCAATTAAAAATATGAACAATATCGAAACGAAATAGCGCACAACAATCGATTCAAATAGAATAAACAAAATATTTTGCAAGAAGAGAATATTTATTATCTATACAGTATGGTCGTTTAGTAGCCACTCTCAAGCGAGATAACATTCAGACATTTCGTTGTGATAGTTTTCATCAAAAATTATTACTTGTGAGTTTTCCCCACACCAATAACGCTTTAATCAAAACAGATGTAAAAATGCGGAATTTGGTCACACGAGATTTTACTGCTCGAAAGTTTATTGCGAATCTCAATTATGTTAATATATTTGTAAAGATGCTGATAAGTAAGCACTATTTTGCAGCTTATTTAGTAAAATCAAGCAATTGGAGCAATAAAATTTCGAATTAAATAACATACATACCTTAGAGTACCAGATGAGAACATCTCATAAATTTAGTCTGTTGAATAACGAAAAACACTATTCATACTGCTTTCTTTGTTTCGCCACCTTTAAATAACTGTAAAGTAACAAACTCAATATGCAGTACTAATGCCAACAAATGAGAAAAACGAATATTAAAAAGATCCGCGAATACAAAATGTACATATTTCTGGAGAATAACACTCTTGAATTTCGAAGCTAAATTTACAACGACAGATAAAGACACTGTTCTCATAAATCGCACTCAGACAGATATTTACCAACTCTAAAATCTTTCCAAGCGTCACACAAATGGATTAATGATTTATCGTCTGTTACATGATGCGTTGCTATCGACGAATGAGTATACGTAATAGAATTTTCTAATTCCTTTTCACAATTTCTTTCCATATCACTGCAAGATATCTTGTTCCGAAAGAAATTTGTAATGTAATAAACCAATTACTAAAAGCAACATAAAAAATTGTCATTGTTTTTGTGAATCAGTGTAATCCAATTCACTACACTAAATACGAACCATGATTTGTTAGAGGACTGTGATATGACATTCAAAACTGGTGAATTTGAATGATAACAGTGATCCATATTTACTTCTTCTTTATTTTTATCAGTTAAAGAATTAAGCACTTTTTTATTACTTATGACTTTATTAGAAGAATCAAATGAGCATCGAATTGGTGTGATTACCTAAAAGCAATGTTAAATAAATGCAAATAATAACAGAAATTATAGTTAATCTAAGCTTTTCCTTGAAACTCTGAATATTAACGACATCAGATTCATTACTGTCCATCACTAGAAACATAGACCACATCATACCTTTACATGATTTCAATCGCAAATTGTATGACTTCAATTTTTCCCTGTATGAACTTTCAGTAAAAGTTTACTTGAGAATTAAGTGTTATAAATTTCGTATGTTCAAGAAATGCAGCATACATAACCAGAATATTTGATGAGACTAAATACAATACCAAAAATACCTTTCTTTTTTCCAAATCAGATTCAAATGCATCATATACTGGACGACCTAGAATAGGTGCAACTGTCTGTTTTGGTTTGGTTACTTTCATCTTTGTCGTTTTATCTGGAAATCATAAATATTTGATTCCAGAAATTGCTACAAGAAATGTCGACTCTTTCTTCTGCCAATGCGAACTTGTTTCGAACAGCAGCTTAATGAAAACCACCTGGCTAACTCATAAAAATGACGAAAGAGACAAGAACAATACTTTTATCTACATATATATTTGAGCAAAATTTGTAATTTCATTGAACCAACAATGAAAAAGCTTACCTGAGAAAGTTGCAGAGAGATTTCCCGAAGACAACATCTGAACAAAAGCAGCTCCCGTATAAGATACCGGTAAAGTAGAAGTTGATAACGGTTTGCAAAATACTGAATTTAAAAAAGAATTATGAAAAGAAAGTTGTGGCGTCAATCCATGACTTACGTCCACTGTAGTTTTCGTAATGGAAAACTGTGGATTTGAAACTGATACCATCATATTTTTCTTTCTATATTAAGAATTTACTATTAAGGAAATCTAGCAATATATAATTACGAAAGGCAATTAAATGCCAGACTATCTTAGTGCTCTTCACCATATTCACAATCAAATGAATATGATTTGATATTAGTTTCTGTGCATTATTTCAATCTTCCATCGATTATCACTTCAAAAAACTGGAAAAAGAAATACAATGGATAAGAAATCTATATGAGAATTCAACGATTCCAAAATCTTGTGACAACCAGCTTACATAAACAAATAAACATAGATGAACGAAAACATCTGAAGCAGTAAAAATGAAAACATACGTTGCGGATGCACCGGACTAAAGGCACTTGAATGTTCACCAAAACTTATCATGTCTGCTGCCTACGAAAAACATAAATTCAACTTTTAAATACTATGTTGTCAACTGCTATATTCAAGTTGTCTAATTTTCGGAAGAATTCCGCAAGAAATCGCCGATTACGAGTTAGAGTTCCCTGTACCATAGCTTTTGGGAAATAACATTCTTCAAATTAAAATACTTGACATGAGAAATAAATCTTGATATACCTCATGTTCTAGTTTACTGCATCCATTATGAAGCTGAGTAACATATGCTTGCAGCTCTTTCACAAATGGGATAACTGTATAGAAATTACTAGGAGTCATACCGATTTGTTCACAAGCAGCAAAGTCATTTCGATCCTTCGGCAAATTCCACAAAGAAAACCACTGAATTTTTCTAAATGACAAAAATTAAAGACTTTATTCCCCATTAAAACAAGTGCGAAATCATTATAGCAAGAAATCCTTGAAACACGTACCCTATTTCATTCCGAGTTTTGGGAGCAAAAGGAAAATCAGTAGGAACATCGCATATTATATATAGTCGTATTAAAGTGTCATTTACTAAATTTTGAATAAGACGGGAATTAGAAATTTTATCAGAAATGTCATAACCCACTTCCTCCATTACTTCTCGACTTGCGCACGCTGTAGCTTCTTCTTCTTCATTTATCTTAAATTAAGTTATTTCACCAAGCAAGCAAAAACTAATACTTTATTAAAAAGATATATTAAAAATGATATATTTCATTGCATCCTACTTTTTCTTTTGTTTTTGATCGATGAAACTTTAATATAATTCTCAAATTTAAGAAAAGGGATTCGTACATACAGAAACAATTATAATAGTTGTCAATCAAAAAAAAATTTTAAGAAATGTGCAATAAACAAGTACCTTTTTGACTCTTTTACTGTCAAAAAATTTTCAAAACCCCAAAAATTAACAACTAACCTTTCCTTTGGGAAACCCCCAACTGTTCTTAGCAAAATATCCCTGCACGAGCAATACATAATTTAAGGAACTATCCAAAAGTGCTGCACCATAAGTCGGAACGCCAGATTTATAAACACGCCATTCATCTAACACCTGTATTTGACTCGAGTGACAAGAAGCAACGAGACCAAAAAAGGCGATTTAAAACTACCTTATCAACCTTGTCGGCGTACTGGATAAGAAAGTCGCAGTGATTGAATATCTGCCTGAATGCAGACAGAATTAGAGGTAGAAATAAAATGAAAAACTGGAAATTTCTTTCCCATAGTTATTGCTCCACCCTATGCCTCACACGAGTTTACAAAGAACAACAGAACATTACAGAATAATCAAAAATTTACTAACCCTATCAAATCTCTCAGGCTCACTTGAGGGCACTTTAGAGTTGAACTGCTTCTGCTACTGTAGAAATCAATATAAAACCAATGTGCCAATTCAATTTGAAAACACAGTCGAACAGGAATATTTTTCTGAACACCATTCAAATGTTGAATAAAATTATATTTTACCTGTTGTTATCAACAGCTAGAATCTCAGCTGCCTTAATTATCAATAAATTTTTTTACCTGATCACCTGAATAAGATCAAATCACCTGGTCATCAGGGATATTGATGAGAAATCGAAAACATAGATCGTCCAAAACATCGTCTGGAATGGCTGGACCAAAAAACTTTGCATTTTTTGAAGAAACATCTAACGATTTTTTGCTCTTTGAATTTAATCCTAAGAAAGATTGACACCAAAAATTTGAAGAGTCTCCAACCATTCTTTGACATATTTCAGGTGAAAAATACAATAAAAACAAACTTCTGGAATGAAATGCATACACCTACACTATAAAAGCCTTTCGAAACTATAATACGTATTTTTAGAAAGCTTGACACGATATTTTAATATCAAATTAAGATACTTACGATATCCATGGCTACTGCTATACATTCGAGCACCAATACTACTTTTTTTTTTGCTACTACCTTTTTGACGACACCTCCATTGATCATCGGATTTTTCTTCATTTCCTAATATTGACATAACATACTTGTTGAACAAAAATGGTAAATTCATGATTTTACAGCAGTTCCGTTTCTCACATAACAAAACAACGTCTCAAGACGTTATCACTTAATAAGATACCCCCATACGTTTAATTTTGTGTTTACAAAACCTAATCAACGGTAAGTCTTGCCACCTTATCTAATTTTCACCGTTAAAAGAACAGACCAATTTGTAGACATAGTAAATAATTGAACAAAATTCTGTTTCTGGTTATTTGATAGAGTGAAGTAACAGAAAAGTAAAATTTTTATGGCTACAACATATATTCATAAATACAAAAAAAGGAATACTACAATTTTTCACTGAAAAGTGACAGAGGTCGTCAGTTGGAATTTTAGAAGAAAATGGAAAGTTTCACTTTTACAGTCTCAAATAAAACGACCACGTCAGTACCAATGACTGGCCTCCTAAAAACAACACCCAGTTCTTCTCGTATTAGATCGATACTTATCCATTTGACAGATAATGAAGTGGTGAAGACAATCTGATAAACTACGGAAATATTCAACAAATTAATCACCAGCTGCAGACTTATTAAAATCATTAGTTAGTAAATTTCGGTTGCATGCTGCCAATCGTGTAGTATGATGTTTTCGAATCATAATGAGATGCTGCAATCTTAGAACTCACACGCGTTTTCTTTCTAAAAATTTATCTGTTATAAAAATAACGGCACTTGCAATTTTCGTGCATAAAAGATTTTTGAATCTTGATCAGGCACTTTTTGCAATGACAAGTCCGATGTTTAAGTCCTTGCACATTTAGAATTTAGGAACACGTGGTATCAGTCAAAAATATTCTTAACGGAACTAAGAAATACTAGAGTTGTCGCCCATACGTAGGGAGTCCGTTATCAGCAAAAAAAAGATGAGTATTTGATATATGCATGACATTTTGAAGGAAACTGGAAATTAGACTGGGAACAGATTATAGCGTATTTTGGCAGAAGAAATTAGTCAACTAAAGATGAAATACGTGAAATGGTTCATGTAAGACTAATGCTAATTAGAATGAGAGCAGAGGGTATATAAAGAAAGTTGAGTTAAGAGGTAGCAGCATTTTAGTTTACGTCACAGCACTCAACGCGTCGTAAGAGAGAAATTCAGAAAGCAGAAGGCATACTGAGCGGAAGAATGGGTAAAAAAATGTTTTGCACTGCAATAGATGCAACATTATGATAACAGCAAACATTGGTCAAAAAATGTTGCCTACACAAAAATGTAAATAAGCAAATGATGCACTTAATCCATACCAATCAATGAACAAAGAATCCACATCCAAGCAGGCAGGTACGTGAGTAGGTAGATAGGTAGATAGGTAGATAGGTAAGTAGGTAGGTAGGTAAGTAAGTAATTTTGCGATGATTGCGGATATGCGTTTGTGTGTACGTTACATTCTAAGCAGAAACAGCAAATAACACTGCTCTTGCATGGGAAACTCGACACATGACGTAACTTACGGACAGTCTCTAGATTAAAAAGCTCATGCACCACGAAGCAAACATGTTCCTGCTCATTGCTCTATGCCCACTGTTCACGGCTCGCTATTCTGCCGTACACTGAGATGAATATTTGCATTCTGTCCAGTAATGAACTTGAAGCATTTGCAGCGCTTAGTACAAATGTAAATTGCTTATGAGAGAGGTTTCTTCGTTTATCATCGAATTTGGTGGTACCTGTTGCTTCAATAAGTTATTCGTGTTATGCCATGTTACCGTATGTCCTCATTATTGTAAAGCAACTATACTACTTGCTTCTTTGCTATGCACGTCATATAATGATCTCTTGCGCTATTAATCAATCTTCACGTTATCAGTAATTGCAAATTCCGTCTTTATGACAGTAAGCATCCGCTCAGCTATTTTGACGTAATAACTTAATTTTAATCGCTTTTTTGAAAATGAAAAGAATCATTGCTTCATTTCATTCACTAACTAGTTATTTTTCCTCTCACTTTTCGCCTCACATTTTTTGCTGATTGCTGATGTATTAGGCATTGCTTTTGTATGATCCTTGCACTTGGTCATTGTTGACACTATATAGCTCCTCCTATCAATCACGAAAGCAAGCAGTTCATCGTTATTGTTCTATCATAAGTTATGAAGTTTCGCTTTGTAACTTTTTTTGTAGGTTATAGTCTATTCTTCATTTTCATGGCATTTACGAAGTAGACAGAATCTACCATTCTGATATATTTTACCAAAGCAAGGTATCTAATTCATCAAATACAATTTTTAACTTACTAATGTGTCTTATTTGTTTTTGATTTCCTTTTCCACCTTAGTCTTTAATTTGCTTCAATCTATCTATTCTTTATTTTGCAGTTGTTTTTAGTGTTTTCAGTCCGGCAGTGCCTGAAACTTTTTGAATTGATGTAAGATTCACTGCATTGATGACTCATTAATTGATAGTCGGAAAAATTTCACCTAGATCTAGTATCTATTTTTCAACTTTAAATTTATATATACTTAGATGAGCATCGACCACTTCTAGCTAGCCAGAAATGTCAAGCATACTCAATTTTTGACTTCTCTTCTCTATAACTTAATTTGCCAGGAAAGATAAGTGAATTTTTCGAGATGTATTCAAGATGCTGAATTTCTTAAGAATTAGCAATTTGGTAAAGCATGTGTGTGACAGCTATAAAAGCTTTTTAAAATTAGTCAGTGTACTGTGGAGAAAACGAATCGTACTTATAGGGTTTTATGCTTCTCAGTTATTGCAAGTCTAATGTCATTGTTACAAAAGTATAATAGGTGAGTTTTTAAGTCCTGCAGGTGTTGTAAAAATATACCATTTTATCAATGCTTTTATTACTTGGTTGACTGATTCGATAGTTATTCGGTATGGATTTTTTTTTTGCGACATTAAGACTTTCCAGCCTTTCATTTCTTTGCAATTTCAGCTGTAATGTCACTGTGTCGAAAACTTGTTCAGGGAGCACTTTTCAAAAGCTCCTCATTTCGCATACTAAATTCTCGGTCTTTCACAACTCATGGTTGTTTCTTTATTTTATTTGCTAACTGAGAAATGATTTTATTTGCTTCAAATTATTTTCAAAATGAAGTCTTTTTCTCTGCGGTTAAAGGGCTTTAACCAGATATAAAAATTATGATTAAAATTTTCTCCATAAATTTTTGAGTAGAGTTGCTTTGAAACGTAAAATGGGGTTGACAAAAGAGTAGCATCTATTTTTATCAAGAAAATAAATGTTTCAGATGTGGATTTGGTCGTTATTGGAGCTGGTCCGGGTGGCTATGTAGCAGCAATTAAAGCTGCTCAGTTGGGTTTGAGAACTGTATGCGTTGAAAAAAATCCATCGCTAGGTGGCACATGCTTAAATGTCGGGTGCATACCATCAAAATCATTATTAAATAATTCATTGTATTATCATATGGCTAGGAGCGGAAATCTTGACAGTCGAGGTTGCTTACCACTTTTTTACTATTTATCTGAAGTGATTTTTATATATACATTTGTCACTTTATAGACATAGATTTCGATTTAATTAATGCTTCTCTCTCTAAACTCCTCCTTTTTTAGATTGTTTCATGTAAGAAAACTTTAAAACTAGACGTTCTTCTTGTTATTACTTGAATTTGCTCATTTTTTTTCATATTCTAAAATTTTTTTAATTTATTAGTTCTTAACTACTGCTGAAAACTTTATTATTCTAAATAAAAAATTACTGTTGTTTTATTCAAGGTGTTGAAGTCCAACCAAAGTTAAATTTGGAGAAAATGATGGCTGCAAAAACGGCATCTGTTAAGGCGTTAACTGGAGGAATAGCAATGTTGTTTAAAGCGAACAAAGTAACGACAGTCACTGGAGTAGCTACTATCACAGGTGTAAACGAAGTATGCATTTTTAAAATCTGACATTCTGATCTTTTAGTTTGCATTATTCTTAAAGTGAAACAATTCAGGTCACTGTGAGACTGACCAAAGGTGGTTTAGAGAAAATTAATACTTCTAATATACTCATTGCATCGGGTTCCGAAGTTACACCTTTTCCGGGTATACCCATTGATGAAGAGCAGGTTTGTTTCTAAAAATGTCTTTTTTTGGTTATTTAAACTATTTCTCCTTTATATTTTCATATGTTTAGATCAGAGGCATGAAGTCTTGCTCCACATGAGTTTACTGAGTATTTTTAGAAACTGTAACAACTGCACAATAAGTTACTTGTATAGCGATTTCAACCAAATAAATTAATTTTGAAAAAAAAGTAGCTAAAGATTATTAAAAAATAGAATATTTAAGTACAGATTAGTTGATGTGTTACTGTTTGATTTTTATAGATGTATAATTTTATTCAAACCATGTTTTGATTATGTATGATCAAATTCAGATTGTTTCTTCAACGGGTGCACTGTCTTTGAAAAAGGTACCAAAAAAAATGATTGTAATCGGTGCAGGTGTTATTGGTACTGAACTAGTAAGTTTCTTCGTCAATTACATAGAAGTTTGAAATAAAAGGAATGCAGTTGGTCTTTAAAGTTAGATGCGAGTCGTTTCTCAGTTATATGAAATTGATTCCCCTGTGGAACAAAATTTCAGGGAAGTGTATGGCAGAGACTTGGAGCTGAAGTAGTGGTTGTTGAATTTCTGGGGCATGCTGGTGGAGTAGGCATTGACATGGAATTAGCTAAACATTTTCAAAGATCTCTTACAAAGCAAGGTGAAGTATGCAGGTTTTGTAATGCATATTCCGTTTTAGGTCTTTGTGTTATGTTTTATTTCGTTTCAGGAATGAAATTCATGATGAATACAAAGGTAGTCAGTGGAAAAGTGGAAGGGAATCTAGTAAAGATAGATGTTGAAAATGTCAAGAATGGAAGCCAAACAACGGTAAAAACTTAATGTAAAATTTTGGGTTAGTCCATATGCAACAGATGAGTTGATCCAGCTTATTTTGGTCAACAATTTTAACGCATTAGGAAGAATAAGATTATTGCATTTTCGAAGCTTTTTCTGTTAAAAAGTTGTTCTTCCGTAAAAACGTAGATTTCGAAAAAAAATGAGTAGCGTTTAATAACAAATGAAATCAATAAGTGATGTACCAAAACTTGAATATTTATTGAATTTGATTTTGCACTTTATCTTTTCAAAAGTACACACTTCTAAACAAATTTTATCAAGTTATTGGATCAAGAAAAAAATTTAAATTAGCTATAGAATTATTTCTAGCTGGAAGCAGATACTGTTCTTGTTGCTATTGGTCGGCGGCCATACACAAAAGAACTTGGTATTGAAACCATTGGCATAAAATTAGATTCGAAAGGGCGCATTCCAGTAAATGAACGTTTTCGTACTTCAATTCCATCTATTTTTGCAATTGGTGACGTAATTGCTGGGCCAATGCTGGCGCATAAAGCAGAGGTATTGCATTCTTTTCTGTAAGTTTTCAAAATTGAGAACTCTATACTAACAAACTGTCAAATATCTTGATTACGAAGTAAATTTTGTAATTTCATGCTATTTAAGATCTATAGCTCCTTTTAGTCCCTTGTAAAAATTATGTTTGAATAGATTTATTTTATTGCAATTATTTTATCAGTGTTATGTGTCTAAATATAATGTGCTTTTTGATGCTTCATTTGAGTAGCGATTAAGTATATGTGTCAATTTTTATATTGTTTTAAAACGCTCGGAAGTTTCAACTATAAAATTTGTGTTTTTATAAGTTTTCAAAACATGCATTTTTTAAACTAAATTACTGCAGAATATTGAAAGCCATAATTTAATAATTTTGATATTTAGGATGAGGGGATCTTGTGTGCTGAAGGTATTGCAGGTGGTTCGACACACTTGGACTATAACTGTATTCCTTCAGTTATTTACACACATCCAGAAGTTGCATGGGTCGGCAAGTCAGAGGAGCAATTGATGAGTGAAGTATGGATTATTACTTTGTTCTTGATATTTCTATAAACGTGTATAAATATCATAGTAAACTGAATGTTTTACTAGAATGTGCAATATAAAATTGGCAAGTTTCCATTCATGGCAAATTCTCGAGCTAAAACAAATGATGACGTCGAAGGATTTGTGAAGATTATAGGCGACAAGCAGACAGATAGAATGTTGGGAGCTCACATTATTGGACCAGTATGCTTTTGATCATTTTATGAAACTTGAAACGAATTGTTTCTGTTGCATTTTTTGAAAGAAGGCTTACGTGAGCCTTGCACATTTGACCGGAGACTTGGAAGAAGATAATTTTTTAAGTAACGAAATACTGGTGCTAGTTTAATTTGATTCAATATAGAGTATGATTACATCATATTTTCTTCCAAGCGCTCCGTTCGAGTATGTTAAGATCATTATAGAATGCTGGTGAAATGGTTGTTGAGGCTACCCTTGCAATGGAATACGGAGCTTCTTGTGAAGATGTTGCTCGAGTTTGTCATCCACATCCTGTGAGTTTCAATGATTTTTGATTGTGTTTTTTTGTTTATGATGACTTGTTGGTGATTATCTAAAAGTTACTGGAATAACTGCTTTTTTTTCTTTGAATATAAATCAAGGATTTATACTAAGCACTCAATTTGTGTCATGTAATATCAGTTCTTATGCAAGTTAGGTAATTCTTAATTGTGATTTCCTTAATTTTTCATAAAATAATTTTTCTTTCCCATCAAATGTAATGGATTTAATAACTTGCGATTATTCAGTGTTTAATTTTATAATTCGTGTATTTTTTGTTGAATTTCTAAAGACAAATTTAGAACTAAAAATTTAATGAATGAACTTTGTTCTATGAGATTTACTAATTTACCTTTTTATTTCGTGCGTGGCTATGGAACTAGATAGTTTTGCTTTTCAAGAGTGATTAGATGATTTTTCAGACATTATCGGAGGCGTTTCGTGAAGCCAGTTTACATGCATTTTGTGGTAAAGCCATAAATAACATTTGAACTTGTGACAGTGTATGAATTTGAAGGTCGAAAATTTTTAACTTTATTATTTGTTCGTCGATATCTTTTTTCGCATTTTGAAATGTTTATTTTGAAAACACTCGATCTGCTGAAAAATTCCGTTACTATAGATATACTGTGGTGCTTTTATTTATGAGGTGGTGAGGTTCTTAATCATATTTTTTTCCGGTTGATCTTATGCTGAGTATTGTTATTAATTTATTTACAGTAATATCTCTTGCTTACTTTATGTTGGCATTTTGATTGCATTTCGGGTTTCAAATAATTCTTAAATTTTTCTTTCCAGAAAGATAATTTAATGATCGGTCTTACATATGAATTCTTTCAGGTTTGAATGATTCTATATTCCAGGACTTCCAAAATGCTTTTTTTTCAAATCATTTTATTTCATAAAATTTTCATGTTTACATTGTTTATTTGTGTTTGGGATTTTTTATTCATCAATCCATTCTGTATGCAAACAAGGTCAAGTATGATGGGCTCTAAGACTTTCCATGCTTCTTGAGAAAATACTTCTTAACTTCGTTCGTGAAATCACAATGAATCATACAATCCATAAACATTAGTTAAATACATAGTTCATCATCATCTACGAATATCATGGATTCAATACCGACGTTGATTGGATGTAGACACTAAAAATTATATAATTTGCATACTGAATTTTGAGCCTCCGTAATACAGTTCTTAAATGCTTAAAATTTTAAGGACGTGTGTGTATGAGGCACTTTCGAAATTTGTAAGGGCATGTAGAGATTAAGGGAACTCAACTGAGGAATTGAAAACTAACTCGTAAGGTAGATATTTCACCAGCTTCAACCTTGATCGCGGCTTCAACGAATTCGTGGAGGTTTAAGTTTGCAATCTCATCCAGAGGTATGTTGAAGTGGTCTCCAAAGTTGCGGACCAGTTGTTTCATTGTTAATCTGAGTTCCGTCTTGCTTAAGTGTAGAATAAGTCTTCCCTTCTGCTGCCCAATCAGCATTGAGAAGTACTCAGTTTTAAAGTTCGCTGTGATTTTTATGTAATATAAAACTATTGAATCAGACACCCTTATGAGAGTTGCAAAATGGAAAGTTGGCAGCTTACGTTTTATTACCAAACCAAATTTTGACATTGCCAACATGGTCAAAATTTCGTCCGAAATAGTGTAACATTCTCAAATATTCGGCAGCAATTTCAACAGCATTCGTTGTTAAAGCCAAACCAATCGCTGAATATACGAGTGTTACTACCAAATAAGGTTCGCTAAAAATTCCCTTAAATTTATATACCATGGTAGTAAATAATGTGCTGATAATCACCATGGAAATTTCATGGGGTACTTCAGTACAGCACCTCTTGCTCTGCGAGAAAGGATTCTTCTATACAATTCTAGATTTTTCAGTTAGGAAATATAGCACGAAGGAATAATGATCTTTAACGGATTTTAATTATTCATTCTTTTACTACTGTGAGTCAGCGTCATTATATATGCCTTCACGTATTCAGGTACGAAAAATAGTTATGAACATTCAATTTCCAGATTTCTTATTTTAAAAAAAGGAACATGAGTAAGTTACTTTTTGGGTACCAAATCACCTAAACCGATGGTTGTAAGTGACACAAAATTAAAATAAATTGCTTCGAAAAAGTTCATTCCTGGTTCATATCTCGCGATAACCATGGAGCCAATAATGATGTACACAAAAAAGGCGATAAGCAGTATCGTTGCTTCATTCCAAGCAATCTTCAAATGTGAGATTGTAAACACAAATAGCGCAATGAATGGGCTTGGCTGCTTTTCACATTACACATAACAAGAAATGAAAATGTTGAAGTCAGTTTTCGCTTTCGCTTTATTGGTTCTGGCGCTAAATCGCATTCCGGTACTCTGGCAGTACTTGTCCCGCGCTCAGATTTGTTGTGCTCATCATTTTCGCTATGTCTTCTTGAAATCCATATCGACTGTCGAAGAAGATGCTTTCGAGCGTCTTCGTGAAAAGGATCGATTGAATGCATGCGTCGACGTGACCTGATATACTAATCTCCCTCGCATAGCGTTTTTGGAAATTCGTTACAGTCCCATTCTGACTTAACACATACGCAATTATTTTGGTCCTGCATTTTTTCTCTGACCCAAACTTACTAGCAAGTAAATCATATTTTTGCCTTTTTTCAGTCTCAACTGCTGTTAACCTGTCCTGACTAGTGATGCCAACCTCAAGCAGAATTACTTCATGTCGCTTCTTATTGTATACTAGGTTGTCTGGTCGATCCGCTTTTATTCTGATTGCAGTTCTCACTCGCATATCGACTCTGATTTCAACATTCTCATTGATTTTCACGACTCTGATTTCACAAGCCTTCTGAACAGAATGACTTCACAAGCGCGGGAATGCTTTCAGACCATACTTCTTGCAAAGTCCCAAGTGGGTGATGTATCGTAGGACGTCATTGTGTCTTCTAGTATAGTCGTGACGTCATTGTGTCTTCTAGTATAGTCGTGATGTAACATTTTTCCGCACTGCGTTGCTAGATGGTCCACTGTCTTCACACGTTCCCCACAATGTTGGCAGATACTTTTCTCACCTAAAACATATTTCTATCTTGGAGATAACAGTATCGTGCCTCATCTTGCGGAGTAATGTTTCCGTATCGAAGCCATTTTGCTAAATCAACTATGGACGAGATTTTATTCGTCCGCATCTTGTTTTGTTCGTCCGCACCTTGAATAACTTTGCATGGTGGGTTTTCTTTTCTATTTTGCTATACAAGAACGCCTTCTAGGCTGTTAATACGTTTTCAACTTCTCAGATTCTGAGAAGCATCACCCCCAGATGGTCGGTTACATTGAAAAGCAATGGAGAAACTATAATGTAGAAGAAAATAGAACGAGGAATTCTCCAAGTTGATTGCCTTTCTTCGCCACTATTCGTCCTGTGCATGGACCCATTGAGCCGTCGGCTCAATATAGAGTACCCAAAGGTAGCGGTTCCAACTGATCAAGGAATGCGCATTACGAATCACCTGTTGCTTGTGGATGACCTCAAGATCTTTGTGACTGATAAGGATATCATGAGATCTATGACAGAAGAAGATGACAGGCTTCTTGCTGTGGTAGGACTAGAAGTAAATTCAGTAAAGTCAGCCACTATCACCCAGGCATGCGCTGATAAAGCGGCGCTATTGGAAGCAACTCAAGATACAAATACCTTGGAATAGTGGAAGGCAGGACTAGTGCACCTACCGTGAAAGCTACGATAAAGCCCGTGCAGAGATTTTAGTGAGAACTGAGAGATTAGCCAAAACTGCACTAAATAGCAAGAACTTTATCAAGGCTGTGAATGAGCGCGCCATAAGTTCAATAAATTATTACATCGGAGTGCTCAAGCTGGAGCCAAAAGACTTCATGGCTATACATCACGATATCATACAGTTATTAATCAAATACAGAATTCACAAGCAACCTGCATGCTTGGAAAGACTGCACCTGCCAAAGGACGAGCTAGGACATGGACTTTATAATGTTAAGCAGAAGAGTGAGCTTATGCTTCTCTAACTACATAATGTTCTTATAGATACCGCACCCATTTATACCAGAAGGGCAGCGATTCTGAAGCAAGAAAAAGCTCATAACACGTTCCTGGCAATTATTGTACCCCATCTAAGGACTAAGTACAACCTTGTAGAAAATTCTACCGTTGAAAG